TACAATGTCAAACTTATCTAGCAGCGACAAGAAAATCACATCTTAACACACACACTGGAGGTGGTCCAGACTGCGGAGGGTCCAGGTTCACTTTGTCATATTCACCTCCCCTTCGTCCCCCGGGAGATGAGATAATCACAGGGTGTCAAGGATGGCGCGGCATTTGATTTATTCATGTATACTCCCTTTTGGCTCGCCCTCCCCAAAATCTGACACACGGCTTCTGAATTTTGATGGCAGTGGTTGTCTGGGACCAAATAATATGATGTCTCAGAGAGAGAGAGAGAGAGAGAGAGAGAGTTAGTTTCAGTTTCATGGCCGTTGGGAAATAGTCTACATTTTGAAGAGTGTAGCCGAGACTGTCTTTAAGGACTGTGACAAATGCTGTCTTTAAACGGGGTGAGTTAAAGACGCCTTAGAGTAACGAAATAGACAAGAAAAATTAATCCATATATACAAATACAATTAGTTGACACACAATCAGTATTCATTCGCCAGCCTGCAGGTGTTTGTTTTAAGAATCAGTATATTTTGTATGCGTTGAGTAATAAGGGAGTGTTACAGATGATACTAATGTTTTAGTATATTACTACAATACACATCTCTCGGGGAGTGTTACAAGCTTACAGTAAAACTTCAAATATATTTTTTCTGATGATGGGTCCCAATATATGTGTATGTGTACAGTATGTGTTTAGGTCAACACAAATGTATTCCACAAAACATTTAATGAACGATGAAAGACTGAGGCCACTGAAGATTAAAAAAAAAAACGATAAACATTTAGGAGATTGAATAAAAAATATCAATTATTTTATTTTATCGTATGGTGGTGATGGATCCACAGTTTACATCATTGTGTTAAGTTATATCAAACAATAATTTCGGGGAAAATAATAAACAGGAGATCGTCAGTATGAGTGTGTAGGGTAGTCGCTTCAGTTAATCTCTTCACGATGCTGCTTGGCCCTGCTCCTCCCCCACCCCTGTTCCTGTTTCACCCCCCCCCTCCCATCCTGTCTCTCATCCCCTCCAATCCTGTATATTTCTCATCCCCTCCCATCCTGTGCCTATTTCTCACCCCCCCCACCCTGTTCCTCCCATCCTGTCTCTCATCCTCCCATCCTGTGCCTATTTTCCTCACCCTCCCATCCTGTCTGTGTGCCTATTTCTCACCCCCCACCCTGTTCCTGTTTCTCACCCCCTCCCATCCTATGCCTGTTTCTCACTGACTCTCACTCACTGCCTCCCTCTCTCTCTGTCATTCCTGGGAGGCAGAAAATGAGGGGAGATGTCGCTATGTTCGATCACATTCCCTCTACTTGTCTCCTCCTCCCTCCCTCCCTCCCTACCTCCCTCCCTCCCTCCCTACCTACCTACCTACTCCCTTCCTCCTCCCTTACCTAACTACCTCCTCTCCTCTCAACATATCTCCTTCCTCGACGGCTGCCTTTCATTTTACTTGTATGAAAATGCATCTGCAGCTTAACGATGATTCTTGAAAAACCGAGATATATATATACGTATATATTTAAGTCACCCCCACTTTACAATTAATTGAGAGAGAGAGAGAGAGAGAGAGAGAGAGAGAGAGAGAGAGCTACTGAACAGAAAAGAGAATAAAAATAGAGCAGAGGAAATACTTAAAGACAACATATAAACACAACACTAATGCATAATGTTGCTGTTGTTGTTGTTGTCACTTTGTCCAAGTGGCAGGGCTGCCAATCTCCACAAGTCTTCACTGCAAGAACAGATAAGAATCTGGTCAACATTTCCTCAAAGTAAAGGCAATAACGCTGTTTTAATGCATTTCTTTGCTTCCATAACTAAGGTCTTAATACAGTGATTATAGGTTTTGTTTCTAATTACGATTGTGGTCAGTGTCAAATTTTGCCTTAATATATTCAAGCGTTCTAAGAGTCGAGATTCTTAAGTAAGTTACAACAGACAACTTAAAAAAAATAAATATATACCACATTTTATCAATTTTTAAGCGACAATAATTAAACCATACACGAGACTTACAAATATTCACAAACTCGATGAACTCCGTAAGATCGTTAAGATGTACCTTTAGATTAATAACAGACAAACGTTAATAAGATGTAGTGGCGTGCGTACATGAAGTCACCAACACAACATACACCACTTCATTGATCTACTCTTGTGCCACTGATATTTATCCTCTTCTTCTACCAACTAACATCTTATCTAATTAATGAGAACAACTTTAACCAATTTCATAATTAACAAACATTACAATTATTACTAGTTACGTAACCAATAAATTAGGTGCGATCAAGTATTAGGTTAATGAAGAGTGAGCTGCAAGATGAAGAGGCCAGTTCAGTTAAACAAACAATGAGGGCACTAGTGGTGTAGTCTTAGGATCCATGAACTAGTACAATGCTGCCACTGTGTCGTACTTTTGCTTAAATTATTATTATAAAACTTAGATGGATAAAATTATATGAAGATGTGTAGTTGCCTGATATGTCTAATACCCTTATTGATATAATCATTTTTTTTTTATCTCATCCTTTATAGATTAATTCTAGGGCGACCTGTGCGAAGGTTAATGAAGTAAAAATACTGTTTGGTCAAAGGCGTCGCGTCTTTATTGAGCGCTCATTTGCCCGCCTTTATTAACCTCATCGGGATCACGCGTCTCGACTCTCGGCTGGCTGCGACTTCGATCAACAAAATTGGCATACAGAAATAATAAAGGAAACTATTTTTAATATATAAGCATAACTAATTACAATGCACCACTAACCAAAAAAAACAATAACCTAAAAGAGAAGTAGTAAGTTAACTGTGCTAGGATTTCAATGTATTTCAGGTCTAAGTCAAAGCCACAAGTCGGGTGACTGTTGGCCAAGTGTAAACAATACGGTGACATAATGGCGGCGCGCAGACGTGCCTCTCCACCTAGATTTGACTGATTCTGAAGGTTTGTTCTCGCTATGATGAATGATGTATGAGATAGGGAGAGTTACAAGTTGGGCGAGGGTGATTGATGTGTGGGGGAGAGGTGGTGTATGGATGGAGGGAGGGAGGTTACACGGAGAGGTGAATCAATGGGAGGGAAGGATGAGTTACTTCGTTATTTTATTGGTGTTCGGAGAAAGATAGATAAATAACGGTTAGAGAGAATAAGAAGAAAGTTGAGGTTATGAGATAAATGAAAGAGATGAGTATAAATTATATAAAAATATGAGAAGAGCGAGAAGAATGACGAACAAATGAGAGAGAGAGAGAGAGGTGGGAAAGATGGGGTAATATTTCACAGTGAATTGCCCCATTCTGTGAAAGTTTGCACACACTGAAGCTGAGGTAAACCTTATCCAAACTCGCTTAAATTAAAAGTGGCGGCACCTCTTGAGCCTCCGTAGAAATAGGTATGTAAAGAATTAATAAAGTAATTAAATAAAAATACGCTATAATCACTACAATATAAATATAAGTACTGTACTATAACTGATATACATACCTTAATTCCCACGTACTGAATATTTTCCGTTAAAATATTACTTTGATTAACCTTTTTCTTCCCTTTTTGGGGGCATTCCAGGAGTAACAAAATAAATATCAAAATCTTAGCAACATAACCAAATAAAGTAATTTCTTGTAACTTGAAACACAAATTAGGGTGGTTTTTTTTTAGTTCAAGCAAGTTTAACTTTCAGAAATTCCTCGTAAGATCGTAAGGATTGTGTAAAATATATAGCTGTTGTCACAAACACTTACAATACATTACACAACTTTCACCACCTCCAAGAACTCTTAATCTCTTGCGATCTTCTCAAGTAATATTAAATCGATGGAAATGATAAAAAGCTCCCCCCCCCACATGTTTGTGCAGTGTATAGAATTACTATAGGAGAGAATGTGTTACTGTCTCACTGGGCTGGTTGTTCACGGCAAAACTTATATAAGTTTAATTGGTTGTTCACGGCCACTTAAACACGTTACATATCACTTTCTACACAAACAGATTTTTGAGCACAAGTCAAAATTTCGATTTTGTTAAAATTTTATGCAAAGGTACTCTTCGAAATGCTGGTTAAGGATCTCGGTTAAAAAAATATATGAGTAATTAGTCTTAATTAATCACCCTTGAAATAAATACATTTAGAATACCCAAAACGTCGATTATGCTCTGTTTGAACGTTATAAATCACAGTTTTATACGTTTTATTACGAATATGTGCCGGCTTCACCATTTAAAAAGGTTAATTTTCACTTTCCAGATAAAAAAATTGGGGGTCACATAAGTCATTAACACAGATTATTTCAATTTGAAAATTTTGAAGCCATGTTCTTAAACAGCGTGTCCTGGAGTACCTTAGCGAGAAATTTGGGAAAAAATGTATCTTCACAAAAAAGCCGAAAAGGCTTTTTTTTATCTGGAAAGTGAAAAGTAACATTTAAATGGGAAAGCCGGAAAATATTAAAAGTGGCGTCCACGTAGTGAAGGGTTAATGTAAACACTTCATGCCAGTCTGTGTAACATGCTTCTCATTTTCATCGTCATGACAACCTTGTCTCTTATTTTCTTGCCAGGGTATCATTTGAGGGGAAAAATAGTCAACCCCGTGCCAAGTGGGACAAGTTTCTCCCTAACTGCTGCTATCCCATCCCCTGAGTGGAACTTTTTCCCCCACAAACTACTTCTATTTTCCCAGGATTCGCTTAGGATTTTTCCCCGTCTTTTTCCCTACCCTGGGCTAGCTCTATTGGGAGGGGGAACTACGCTAAATTGCGAGTCTTTGGCCCGATGCTGAGACACTACAGAGGTGGATGTGGAGGCATTTTTACATACCAGGGGAGTTCGCTCCTCTGATTTTTACAGTGGTTTGTAAGGTGGAGGGGTCCTGGTGTGGCAATAAGGGCTAAGGCTTTTGTGTGTTTGTGTGAGTGAGAAAGAATCTTGACAGTAGAAATACGGGGCGAGTGTTTAACTATTGACGTTACTTTGAGAGACGTATACTCACCTGCCCGTTGTATTGTCCCTGCATTTCAGGTCTCTCCGGTCGGAGGGCGACGGCGGTAGCTGTGGCGGTGGCTGTGGCTGCTGCCACCATGGCTGCTGTGTTGAGGGCGTCTCCCGCACCACCCACGTTACCGCCCATGGTGCCAGGCCCGCCCATATTCCCTGGTCCGCCCATGCCCGTGTTCCCGGCCATAGTAGGACCCGGACTGTTGGCGTAGCCACTGAAGTAAATGAGGAAAGACGATTTGAATTGGAAGGTAAATTAAAAACGTTTCATTTTACAAACAAACATAATTAATAAAATACAGGATATATTTCACACCTTGTCCTTTGCGGCGAACACAGAAATATCAATACAGAAATACATTTTTATAACATATTGTTTTACAAAAAATGCTTTACAAAAGATAAAAAAAAATCAGGGTCAAGAAGAGGTACAAACTTAATTCTAAAGCATAAATGTCCAAGCTTCGTACCCGTTAGAACTGCAGTGTTCCTCAAACGGTTTTTGTTCGGCTTTACATTGGCTAGAGTCTGCCTGCGCGCCCCACCAGCTTGGGATGTCACAAAGAAGATATGATACAGTTAGAGTGAATCTTAGATGATTGAACGGATCAAGTTTGAGTGACTTGATGAATGATATGGTAGAATTTACACATAGATGGAGAAAATAAGAAATAAACTATGGGAAATAATATACATATGAATATTTTGGAATATGGATGACATGACACAGTGTGATGGGAAGCCGTAAATGACTGGTAATAGTCAATGGGGAATTTTGTAATAAATATAATACAAATTTGGGTAAATCTTTAAAGAGATCAAATCTATGATTAAATGACAAGCCTGATACTGTAGTGGATGTTAATTTAATTCATAAATATGACTGGCATGGCAAAGTTGGAATTTATCTTTGAAGAGAAAAACTGACCAAGAGGGATAAATAATCTTAAAAATTCTTAAGAAAGGACATTTTTATTGATAGGAAAAACTGAACGATTCTTTCATGAAAAATAATGTATGAGTGATTCTTTTATGGAAAATTATACATGACTGACATGACTGAGTGATTCTCTGATGGAAAATTAAATATGGTGGACATGACAAAGTCTTCACTACTGCTTTGTTGAAAATTAACATGACTGACATGACAAAGTCTGAAAGATTCTCTCTGATGAACGTTAAAGGCTAGGTGTGATGATCCACCAAACACAGTCATGAAACAGTAATGGAATGACTTAGCCTACGCGCCATGATTAACGTAAACATCACCCTCAAACCAATGTATGAACGCTATAGTCTAAAATGTATACGCTGGTGTATATGTTACCGGTATAGTGTAAAAAAAATCCGGTCATTCTATACAAATCCCGTTTGTTTTTGGCAAGGTGTGAAACGAGACATGTTTATACACGTTTATTCTCTTAAACTAACCTAATGGCGATACAGTATAGGTTAGGTTACGAGAATAAAAGTGTATAAGTGGGTCTCGTTTAACACATTGATGATTTTGCCAATAAACAGTAATGCGTATTATCATTTGTCCTTTAAATGCTTTGCCTAAGTCCATTTACGCATTTTATATAAACCCTAGGAACTGTATAGAATGCCTAGAGAAAGTATAAAAGATGCTTATTTCAAACTTTCCCTAAAACAAAACCGGTATTTCTTGCTTTCACACTTTACCAGTAACATACTACTGTATACAAGTATCTAATACAAAATATGTCACCAGTCATTATTTCCACCAACTCCAAGCGGTGGTGCTTATAATAATAATAATAAATATATATATGTTCCTAAGATATAAGTCACATTCCATACGACAGGGCAGTAGTCATCAATCAGACAAGAGTTATTTACTAACTACAACTTGATCAGTCAGGTTTTCTGCAAAAAAAGGGCAAATTTATCAAGGTTACACGAGCTGGTTATATCCAAAGCTATGAACAGTCGTCGTGCTGGAGAGACCCACAGTGGCCATTTTAGCCTGATTATGTTAAAGCTAGGTTAGGTTACAGTTGGGAGTAGTACAGGCCAAAACTTCCTACAACAGAAGAACAGCATTACGGACAAAACTTCAAACATACACACACACTCTCTCTCTCTCTCTCTCTCTCTCTCTCTCTCTCTCTCTCTCTCACACACATACAAGTTTTTAAATCTCTTGTTCACAGTCAAGTCAAACAAAGCAGTGCGTTTACTGTATGTATCAGGTGTGCAATAATTTTTTGTATTTGCAATGGAACTCAACAAACGTTAGCACTGGACAGGAGGACCCTACCCATTTCTGAAGTGGTCTTCATACGAATTTTGATCGCCATTACATTGGTTGGCGTCAGGCTCCGATGCCCACCATCTTTGTCAAAATAAGAAAAATATATAAAATATTAATCAATTAAATAAAATATTTATAAATAATAAAAAAGTATTCAGCAATAAAATCAACATATAAACACAACAATGTTCAAATAAAACTTAATACATAAATATAAAAACACAGACCACAACCACATTTAAACACCATACACAAAACCTGACATAAAGTGTACTGGTTTCATCGATTCAAATATTTCCGTTTATCGATTCTAAATACAAACATATAATCATAACTGAAGAATGCAAACTATATTAACATCAAGTGACATAACGACTCATATATGAATGACATTGTTTTACTATCAACCAGCGACACGAACCAATAAAATAAATAAATAATAAATAAAAAAACTCAGTGCCATCCATTCAGGTGAGGTAAACATTCTTTCACGTATATAGGAATATTAACGGCATTCATTATTACGGCAGAGTAAATGTTGTAGACGCACACCCGCCATGCACATATAAGAGTACCCACATTTACTGTACAAGTCCACAGACACACACACACACATGAACCCGTACACAATGTTTTTTAGCGCGCACACAAACACAAAATATCTCTCTCTCTCTCTCTCTCTCTCTCTCATTTACAAGTCCACAGACACACACACACACACATGAACCCGTACACAATGTCTTCAAGCACACACACACCACTGAGAAGCCAACAGATCACCACAAACCCACAGAAATTTTCGAAAGTTACATCAAACCACAAAAACAGAAAAAAAAGGGAAAAAGAAAACAGTGAATATCTCCCAACATCTTAAAATATATATATACTAAAAAACACAGAGGAGAGAGAAAGCATAAAAACAGAAAAAAGAACAAATAAAAACAATAGTAAAATTAGTAAAACCAGAGTAGAAATTAAAGTTGAAATTCTATCCGCTAGATTAATTAAAAATAAATAAAATAAAGATAGAATTATAAAAATATTAAATAAATTATATTAAAAGTCAATTAATAAAACCAAACAACTGACAAACAAAATAAAAAATAAAGATGAGAAATATAAAAATAAAACTTACCCATTGGGCTTGGTGGGATAGTTGACCATATTTGAGAAAGATTTGCTATGGGGGTTGAATGGTTGAGCCGGCATGTTGGGGTTGTTGATGGTGCAGTTGGGGGTTGTGGGCGTGGGGGTGCTCTGGGTAGTCGAAGTGGTGACTCCCCACACTGTAGTAACGACAGATACAGCACCACCACCGCCACAGCTGCCTCCCACCCACTCACTGAGGAAGAAAAAAAAATAAATTGTTAAGAGTTATTGACCAATTTCACTGTTGTTATGGGGATTATAGATTTGGGGAGATAAATTTGATTAAGTTAAAAGTATATAGTTTTATTAATAAGGTGAAAAGTGTTTGTTAAGGTAGATGATGAGACAGTAATCATTGAAGTTATTTTCCTATTCTACCATAACACATAATAAATTAATATACAAAAGTACTTCCGCCAGAACAAAATGATTAATTAAGTACAGTGTTATGTTTCTATTCACGCATGGTGCGCCACTCAGTGCTGGAGTGGGACATTAGTTATGGAGAGGAGGACGCTCGTCATTGGTAAACTGGGTCACGTGACTCGCGGAGAGCATATGTCATAAGTTGAAGATATCACGTAAATTGTGGGGCACTGTCCATTGGTGTATTGGAACATATAACTCCTTGATAGCGTTTCTCATTGGTCGCCTAGGTCACGTGACTCGTGGGGGCCGTTCCTCATTGGTAGACTGGGTCACGTGATGTGCTAAATAAACAGTGCGTTTCGATCTCTCCCGGCACTTTCACTCCCCGGACACTGAACAATATATCGGATGACCCTATCACGTATTTCCCAACCTCACCCAGTCTCTACTAACACATGATCAATGATGCCAGGAAAGTATTATTTTCTTAATTATTTTTTTCCGAGTGATATTTCGAATGATGGGGTCAAATTGCTCAACACTTACCCACCATAAATAAACTAACAAACTTTTACAAATAATAAGTGCTAAAATTATTTAATTACGTATGAATGTAGTTCTCTGTCTAGCACGAAGCCAAAGTGTGCAATATTGACCCTTACATATTACCATTGGCCACATTATATTTAGCAAGAACAATAATTTGAAGTCATAAGGAATATGAAACTTGATTAGTCTTTAAACATCACACAGTTTCAAACGACACGAGATGATGTACCTCTAAATTTCTAGAAACAGTTATCTAATAGCACCTAATAACAAAATGCAAACTAGAAAAACTACTAACAGTAAGGTTTATAATGGAATAAGAAGGAAGAGAACACACCAAGGGAAACAGGCGCAAGCAAACGCACAAGTGCTTGCCTAACTCCCATTTTCTGATTACGTTACGTCAAGTTGGTTCACAAACGAGTTTTTCATGTTCAGTCTCCAAAATTGTGGACGTTAACCACTACTCAATGCTGTTATTAACATGTACTTAAAATAAATTACCCCAAAAAATTACAACGCACAACAACGTAATCTTCACACATTCTGTCTTGGTAATGAGAACCATCAGTGGTGAATAACGTCTACCACACATTCAGTGATCATTACAATCAGTCCCCCACCCCTCTTTTATCTTATCAAACAGTCGGTGGACATTTTAACATATTCCTTTTTTTTATCAAACATGCTGGAATATTTTAACACATTCCTATTTCTTTCTTTTATTCACACCTTCCGAGATTATGTTAACCCATTTACCCCTATAGATCCATTTAGGTATTCTGTGATCATTATATCGTCTAGTATTCGATATTGGTATTCAACTAATGAAAATATTGAAACTTTTGCTTACTATGATAATCTAAAATAATTAAAATGCACTATTACTGATCTATGTCGTCATATGTCAAAAAAAAATCTACAAGACGCATTAAAAATATTATTATTATCTTAACCATTAATATAATATACAATGCTTCTTCTTCTATCCCGTCATAATATAAAACAAACAATAAGCCAAAGAATGCCCTCGCAAAAATATTCCAGTACTGCACAAACGAGATGGGTTGAAAATTTCCGCCAACTTGAACAATAGCAACAGTGTCAATTTCTACCGTAACCTCGCGACCTGCCAACCAATGCTCGACTCTTCCAACATTTTTGTGTCAGGCGAACATCCACGGGAGGAGAAACTGGGGGGTGAGGATGAAGGGTGAACTAAAAAGACCGAAGAGGAAAGTTTGATGAGGAAAGAGTTATGGAAAAGAGGGCAAGGAAATGAGAAAGGGGTTGTGAGGTGATGGAGGGCGGGGGGAGGGGGGTGTAGAGATCCAGGGTGGGGGGGAAGGGAGGGAGAGAGGGAGGGAGGTGGAGACTATTGCAGGTGGTGGAAATTTTTGCGAGATCAGTGAAGTGTGGGGGGGGTGTAACTGTACCAGACTAATCATATTTCTCAATGTGGTTCACAATATTCTTCCCTGACATACTGTATATGACATAACCTAAAAGAAAAAAGATAGTTTTTTTTTCAGATTCATAAAAACGTCTCAAGACAACAACTAACTATTTCAGCGTCAGCATACGCAAAGGGAAGATATTTTGTCTACATTCTACGACACAAATTATTCATTTACTATCTTGCAAATTGCTTAACGACAACCAAAAGAAATGTTTCATGCATAATTCACATCTGGAAATATCTGACATAATTGCGTCTAATAACACCAAATAGGAAATAATAACGATGCGCCTCATGTTATCGTACAGTAAAGCGAGATTTCACCCATAACTCCACACCACAAGATCTATCATAATAACAGCGACAGAGCTATTATATTTCCAGAGACAATATGACGGGTGCATTTCGCATAATGAACTCTAGATGACGAACAATCAGGAGGGGAAGGGGAGAGGGGAAGGGGAGAAGGAGAGGGGGAGGAGGAAGTATGTTCTACTGATGACGTGGAGGCAACAAACGGTAACCTCTGGGCGGAGAAATTTCCAAGTCCTCCCCTTCACTTCCTGCTTTCCTTGTCGCCCTCACCTGCCTCGTGACTATTTTATATTGATCGTGTGTGGGTTTGTGTGCTGTTGTTTTGTGTGTTTATATTTATGTTTGTTTGAGATACTGTTTGTGTGAGATACTGTTTGTGTTTGTGTAAATCTGTTTGTGTTTGTGCAAATCTGCTTGATAATAACGTTTGTGTTTGTGCAAATGTTTGTGATGTTTGTGTGTGCAAATCTGTTTGAAATAAACTGTTTGTGTTTGTGCAAATCTGTTTGAAATAACGTTTGTGTTTGTGTAAATCTGTTTGTGTTCAAAATTAGATCTGTAAATATTGAGTCATCTACGAGTGTAATCTTGTATGCGTCTTTGAATAAAAAAAAATGTTACATTGCCTTCTATTCAATCAAAATTTAAATTAAATTATCTTCACTAACGATAAAATCTGCAATTCAATTCTTTGCTCCCTAACACTAAATTGTACAGTAACACTTGATAGAAAACCTCCAAATAGAGAATTTTGGTTTTAACCTCGGGCGCCTTCCCGTCTTGAAATTACCATATACTGTATGTCACCTTCTGGACATAATTTTTTTTTACAACTGTTTCCCCTACTTCCTGTGGGGGTTTTTTGTGACGAACTTTTTTTTTAAATATTTCCTTCAATTCCTCCTCTTGAAAAATGTTTAACATAGTTTTATTAACTTCTTCTACCCTTCATCTACTATTTCCCTTTATTTTGGGATCTTTGCGCCATAAGTTTCTTCATTCCCCCGTATTCAAATATTAACTTCATTATCATACCTCTTGCTTCACTTCCTCGTTTTAAAATATTAACTTCATTATCATACATCTTACTTCATTTCTTGTTTTTCTTTTTTAATCGTTCGTCTTGCTTCACTTCCTCGTCTGTGTGGTGTTGGGCGGGCGGGGGGACGGGTGACGTAACGCTTTTTCGTCAGTTTCTGGTGAGTGTAATTATAAGTTGAATGATGGGTGACAACGTGTATGTGGCGGCGCTCTTCACTCCTCCACGCTACACACAATTCCTGCCTCTGGTTGCCCTAATTTCTTTTGTTCTTCTAACTACTGGTATTATCTATGAATTCTGCTACATATGTAAAAGAGAATCATATTCGTTTACTTAATATTTACTGGTCTTCTTCAATGTCTACTCGAGTCATATTCACGCTATTGAAATAAATTTGATTCGGTCATTTGAAATTTGTCTGTTCGATTTGATTTGCATTTCACATAAGCATATACTGTATTCGTATGTATCTCTCTCAAAATTAACGTCAATGTTTTATACAAATTTTACGTTATCAAATATCTTGCTTCCTCTTGTAAAAAAAATATATATATGCTAATAACACGACATTATCAGAAAAATTTTAAGATATTCTGCTTTACTTCCTCCTTTGGTCAAAATAAGTGATATATACAACGTAAACATCACTATCACAATACTTTCTAGTCCTATATTTTGGGGAGGAGGTTGGGTCATATACTGTATTCGCATCAATTTAATCTTGCGCAGAGCGGGGATGACCGCAAGAATGTATGTGTGTGTGTATGTGTGTGGGTGTCTCGCCCGCACCTTGTGAAACTTTTACACGGCTCCCAGATCTCTTCTCGCCCGTGACAAACTCTGCAATATCTCACTTGTATGAATCTAATCCAACAAGCACCTATCACTATTGCTCAAATTTCAACATAAAGAGAAAATACAGATCATTTCCATACACTAACCGCATAAAAATGACAGTATGCCAAATAGATATTAAAAATACTAACATTTAATGCAGCTAAAAATATATATCAATGTTAAAATGTCAATATAAAACAAATATCATTAATCACAATTTAATGTTCTATTCTTATACTTGACGTCGACAGCCTGAAGGCGGGATGTACTGTACTCACTCCGTGTTCTATCTCTCGTATTATTGATAATTAATTAATACCTGATGTACTAACCTAGAACACGCGCTTAAAGCCCCTTAGTCGTTAAAGCATTGTAATATAAGATCAACACTTCGCTTATATAAATTCTATAAACGGTCTTATACTCAATATCTTATAAACTTTCAGTAATATATGAAACGATAGATATACAAGTCCTCCAGGGATTACTAAGACCTAGTTCACTATACGGCCTCCAGCTGTATCACTCCCAACAACCCAGATTTCTACAACGAAGACTTTATAATGACGAATCACTGACAAACCACCCAGATTTCTACAACAATTAACACAGTTTCACCAGT